GTGGTAGAATATTTAAGATTCACAATCCCAAGTCTCTCCCACAGACTATCATCAACAATGATGTTACAACATCATTTGGGACACTAACAACTTTACTACAGAACCTATAGCTTTCGTTCTAGAATCAGCATCCAAGGGACTTATTTCTATACATTCCCTTTACAAACCTCCCAATATACACAATAGGATCCCAATAGATCTCATCTTCGGCATCTACCACAAATCAGAGCATAATTTAAGAGACAGAAGCTCTCAAATATTTTCTGAAAGACATGTTCAGAAACCAGATTTGTACTCAATCATAAAAAAAACACTCAGCTCCCATCAAGGTATTTGTAGTCAACTTCCATGCATCATCCTAATAAATACTCAGTCTCCTGTCAAAGTACTTATCAGTTAGTCAGATAGGATTACCTTCTCACACTAGGTAGGACTTTAATCTGACATCCTTCTTCTTCACACCTGTGATACTTTCTGAATCTTTGGCATGACATCCGATCATGGCATCCAAAACATTCCAGATTTGGTCAACTTTGGAGAACACACAATTTTTCTTCTTACTGAACCATGATATGAGATAATTCCCCAGAAAGAAACATCCTCATGATGTACTTTTTCTATCATCGGCACTTCATGTCCAATCATCATCACAATATCCACTTAATGAAGAGCTACAACATGCCATAGTCACTTTTCACATTCACATACTTCAGTATTCTCTTCACATGGTTGGCATGGCTAACTTTGGGATCAGCTTGATATCTAGCACATACCCCTTTTTCATCTTTAGACAACTTCAGATGTGTGGGAGCAGGTGTTCTCTTGTGACTGGAATTTTCCATCCCAAATTTCTTTACTATATTCTTAGCATATTTTCTCTGAGATAGGAATATGAAGTCTTCCATTTGTTTAACTTGAAGATGAAGAAGGTAAATTAACTCACCAACAAGGCTTGTCTCAAATTCTAACTGCATTTGCTTGACAAAATGTTGAACTATCTCATTTGACATCCCACCGACCATAATATCATTAATATAAATTTGTGAAATCATGATATCCCCTTATTCTTCCTTGACAAAAGGAGTTTTGTCTATACCATCTTTCCTATATCCATTCTCACCAAGAAATTCGGTCAATCTCTCATACCAAGCTCTTGGAGCTTGCTTTAATCCATACAAAGCTTTCTTCAGTTTGTACACATGGTTAAGAAAGAAAAAAACTTGGATCAATAAATCCCTTAGGTTGTTCCACATAAACTTCCTCATTCAAATAGCCATTTAGGAAGGCACTCTTTACACCCATTTGAAACAGCTTAAACCTCATAATGCAAGCAACTCCTAAGAGTAGTCTAATTAATTCAAGTCTAGCCACAGGAACAAAGGTTTAATAAAAAACAACTCCTTCAATTTGAGTGTATCCTTGAGCAAAGGTCACTTTTATTGCTGAAGAAACTGAGATGTTGTTCAAACATCTGCTACGACATCATCCATTGTTACTATGGTTCTGGGGGAAACATCCATAGTAACTCATACTCAAATCTTATGGGGGAAACACAAGGAAACATACCAACAACAACTGATCCATCTTCAGGATCAGACTACCAACATATGCATGGGATTGCACGAGCCACGTCTCAATAAGCTCTTCTTCAGACCTCCTGTCTAACTTTGATATGATGGATTCCATTGGCTATACCTACATAAGAGATTCCCTCTGTTAGGTATCTATACAGACTTTTCAAAGGAGTTTGTTTCCCCTGATTTTTCAAAAATAGTGCCCTTCAAATTTTGACATCTTCAAAGATGTCATGACATTTTGTCTGACATCATATCAACCCTTGACAAGGGAACAAATTTTGAGGATACACAAAGATAATCACAAATTCTCTTCATCAAGGGAAATAAAAACAATACTCAGGAGCATCAAACATTATGGTTAGATCACAGTACTCCTCTTTAAACATAATCTGTTCTATGGCAACAAACAGGATTCCATGAATCTGGTTCCTTTGATCAGAAGGATCTTCCAGATACGACCTCATCTCATATGCCTAAAGGGTCTGGTGGAGATTCTTTTATGAGTTCTTCTCAAGAACCTGGAGCTCAACCTCTATACTTCCATAAGCCTTGGTCAGAAATAAACTGACACAAGGAGTAGATAAACTATTGATCGTGTCCTGATCAACCTGTACAAACTAGATGCCTCCTCTTCCAGATCAGGAGTAGGTTCCAAACAAAATTATTCGTAACATTTTTATTCAGCACCCAAGGAATCTATTCTTCAACTGGTAGTTGCATACTGAAACAACCGACCGAATCGTCATCTGATAATACAATCAATGAAGTCGCCACGGAATGTCTTTTATCTCATCAAAAGGGAAAGGTAAACATCGAGAAAACCTAAGAAGGGTGAAATCACGATCAAACGACCGAGAGATTGGGTAAGGGAGTCAGTTACGCGAGGGGAAGGTATTAGCACCCCACACGCCCGTAGTACTCTACGGTATCCACTCTTGTTTATTCAAAACTAAGGGTGTGTTAGGATCTATATCTAGGTTGTACAGGGAATGCATGCAAAAGAAAGGAGAAAAGAATATAGGGAAAATAAAAGTTATGCTCGTTCGGGCCCTACCCCAATGCCTACGTATCCCTTTTAAGGAATCAGAGCAGCCGTAGTTCGGCTCATATATTTTGGTTGGTTTTTGTTTTTTAGTTAAAAAGACAAAAGTAACAGTCAAGATGGCAAAACATCAAATAAAATGACAAAACATCAACGATGATGATAAAACAACAAAAGGGATCGACAATACATCACATGGTAGCATAAACTCAGATAATATGATAAAATGTCAGCATGATAACAAAATATCAGACAAGACGACAAAACATTACACTTAACAATGATATTGAAAATCAAAGTAGGATGACAAACATGAGCGATGGCGAAACATCAACAAAAGACAGCAAGATAGCATGGCAAAGATGACGAAAAATCAACAATCCAAATGATAAAACAACACACCTAACAATGATATTGAGAATCAAGGTAGGATAAAAACATACGCGATGGCGAAACATCGACAACAAACATATGCGATTGTGAAACATCGGCTAAAAGATAGAAAAGTAACATGGCAAAGATGGCGAAACATCAACAATTCAGATGATAAAACATCACACCTAACAATGATATTGAGAATAAAAGTAGGATAACAAACATGTGCGATGGTGAAACATCGGCAATAAACATATGCGTTGGCGAAATATCGGCTAAAAGATAGTGAAATAACAGGGCAAGGATGGCGCAACATCAAGTTAAAATAAGTTTAAAACAAAGCCAAATGGCGCACAAACAATTAAGATTGATTTGTATTTTTTACTTTTAAAAAGGATTTAAGTTTATTATAGATGTTTTATGATTTTTCAAGAAGAAGTTTTAGTTTTAAGATGCAATATGCAAAGAAAGGAAAAATAACTATGGGAGACTAGCCTAACACTACTCCTAATGTTATCATACAATGATTGACCCTAAGGCTGAGGATGAAAGAGGGAAGGTTCTACCATATGTTAGCATGCATGGATATCTATCCTAATATCTAGCTCAAAAGCTACTCTAAACGAGTGATCCTAAGGGAAGCAGCAAAAATGTCAGAGATCATGTGGCAAAAAAACAAGCAAACTGATGGCAAAACATCTGGACAAACAAAAGCTAGAAAATCAAACACCTACAAGGCGCAGGCCTAGTAGTAGAAGGGGAGGTCCCGCCATAGACAAGCAACCAGGCATCAGACCAAGGGTCAAGTCATAGCCAAGGGGAGTGTATCACCCGAGTCAACAAGCTATAGAATTATAGGAATACAAAAGGGTCCTTAACCGTGATATCAATTACCAGGGCAAGAAAGATCTGATGGAAAATACATAGTGCACGCGTACACTAAGCATCAGTGTTGGTCAACACGAGCTAAAGAAAGCGTGAAGATCCGATTGCGGGAACCCTTTGCACTTGCCTTTTAAGGACTTAAGTTCATTCAGATCTTGGGCACATGTTCGGAGCATCTACTTGTAGAAAGTGAGCATAGGAACGACATGGACTGGAATGTGCAGGGGTCAATTATGAACCCTTTTCGCTCGCCTCTTTTGAGGACTTATCACCTGTAATCTAATGCGGGCACAAATATAAACACACGTGCATATATTTGGGAAAATAACATTTGATATTTGGTTTGTATTTTTTAATTGTACTATTTGCGAAGATCTCGATTAATACATGATTGGAAAAAAGATTTAATGCAAATAATATAGAAAATAATATATAAATTTTTGAATGAAAATGATTTATTTGATCATATAATAATACTTAATAGTAAATATATTAATAATATTTAAAACATAATAATAAAAACTAATAATAATAATAATGATTATAAATGAAAAAAGAATAAATAATAAAATATAATATAAAAAATAATATAAAAAGAAATAATAAAAAATATTAATGATTTAGGTAAACTTGGGGGTATATTTTCAGTTGCGAAGTAAATAATAGGGGTGCTAAAATAATTCAGACTAGACCCATTATTACTAGCTGGACAGAGGGGTGCACGTTGTTATTGCATTTGATAAAAGGTGGAAACGGGGTGTTAATCGATAATTAAGATGTACGTTAAGAGAGAGTACTGGTTAGTAAGGACAGAGGCCCAAAAGACTTAACTCAATCAAACCCTAATTAAATTCAATAATATAAAAAATAATAATAAATAAGTAAAGAAGAATTGGGACTTGGAGGCTACCACTGCCCCTCTCACCTGATGCATCTAAAAAGAAGCTTTTACTATGCTTCTTTTTTTTTAAAACCACACAACAAGAACCAATAGTAAGCTGACACATGTCCACCCTTATTTTAAATAATAAAAAAATGGCAAAGTGAATAAAGGAAAGGCTAGAACGATGAAACACAGAGGAAACTCACTCTTTCCTTCTTCGAAACATCAATACACAAAATCAAATGTTACAAATGTTACCCCAAATCGGAAATTGATCAAATGAAAGAGAAAAGGAAGATACCATGGTTGAACCGACGGTGCCGATCTCGGTTGAACTCTGAGCGGGGAACAAAGGCGGAGTTGAAGGCGGCGGCGGTCCGGCGTGGGGATGTCGGAGGATCAGCAACTGCTGTTCAGTTGCGGAAATTGGAGTGTATTGCACAGATTCTAGTCGTCGACACCAAGGCGTGGAGATTGGGCGGTCTTCCCGGCGATTGCAGGTCGTGGCCGAAGAAGGCGTTTGATGGAGTTCGCGGCAAATCTCCGTCAACAGCTTTATCTCTCTTTCTCCTTGAATCTTCTTCCGACATGTAAACAAAAGAGAAAGATTCTGAAAATAATGTTTGTCGTTATGCATCTCATTCACAAGCTGTTCATATGTTGCTTGTGTGGCTGAAGCGAACTGTAGTTTTGCAACCGGGTGGATTCGACTTCTTCCATTTTTTCCGGATGATGGTGCTTGGCTCCCGGGCGGAGGAACGTGAAGCTTCGGCGGCGGGAAAGGTTGTGGAATCGGTTGATCGTGGTGGAGGTCCAACGATGGGGTTCCGAGCGGATCCGATCTGGAGAGCATGATGGCGGATTGGGGGTTTGCTTCTCCATTCTTTTTTTTTTCTGCAGAGACAAAAATCATGACAGTTCTTCCAGATTTTTGTTTTGGGACTCTGCTGCCCTTTTGTTAATGATTTGATTGTGGTTGTGAATCACTTTGAATGTTATGGATTAGAGAAAACAAATTTTGAACCTGATTTCCCTAAACAATTTTAGCAGATTAATGGTTAGATATGATGTTAAAAATATGAGAATGTTTTTTGTGCAAATTTCATTGTAATTTGATACTGATTTCCATGGAATAGTGGTAAAGTGGTTTGAAATTGGATGTGTCGTATTATGCAAGGTGATTTGGTTATGAATAAAGATGATGAAGACTTTGACATAAAGAAAAAGGGTTTGTGGAAGAAATTGTCAGTATGAATGTATGGCCTACAAAATAAGGTTTCATGTTAGAATGATAATAAAATGATTTAAAATGTAAATAAAAGTCAGATCCTCGGTTAAGACAGCGGACAAATAACAATTAATGAATTGAAAACAAAAAGGAGTTAAAAAATATTAGGGAGGGTGTCTCATATTTAATCATCGGCCAAGATTGAAAACGTAGAAAACACTAATTGAAAAAACATATTCGAAAATAAAAATCAATTGAAAATATATGACAGTGAATAATTATTTTCTGTTTTTTTACAAAAATACAAATAATTATTATATTTTCAAACAGACTTGAAAGCAAAGGAATTTTATATTTGTAACACCTAAATTCGAAAATAAGTTTGACTGTAGCACTAAGGAGAACAAATTTGAGGTATGACAATACGTCTGTGAGTTGTGTTCTGATTTGTTATATGTGTGCTTTGTGAAGGGCGATGCTATGGTCTTTATAGAGTGAGAGTTTAAAGGATGTTGGATGTTAAACAAATATTTTTGCTGTTAGGTGAGTCTATGACGTTGTTGATCGTTATGGGATTTTCTGCAAGTTATTTGGAAAGGTTTAATGTGATGGATTGGAGAGTCAATTTGCGCAGAGGGTTTGGGGAGTATGGTTGTAGTGTTATTGTAGTGGTAAATGTTGCAGGTTTAAGTGTAAATTTTCTATTGCAGGATGATGTTAGTGGAGTTCAATTTGGATGATGCAGGGTAGTGAGGAAGATGAAGATTGATAATGGTGATGTAGTAGTTTGAAAAGGCTGTGAGGTGTGAGTGAAGGTGAGGATTCTTGTGTGTGAGATTTTGTGTAATTTTTCTCTCCCTTCAGTTGGTTGTTGATATGATTTTATAGAATGAGAGGTGAGATTTTAGGAGGGAAAATGAGATAACTTTGAACAACTTTGGTGTACTACTTCATATTTTTCTTGTGCAGGTTTTATGTATGTCTATTTCTGCGCGCGTTTTTGGATTGTTTATGATACAGTGCAGCAGCAGGGATTTTGGAGTTTTATGGACATATTTGCAACATGAGTAGTAGAGTTTGGATTGTTTTATTTGGCCATTTTGTGGACTGGTTTTAGAGCAGGTTTTCTAGAGGAGCAGCAGCATATTTTTGGTATTACTATTCAAGTTTTATGCAGCTTGGACAAGGACAAGGCATAATTTATGAATAACATAGTGGTTTTGGACTGACATTTGACAGTATTTTTTTGGATTTATTTTACACAAGGAGACAAGTAGACATGACATAACATAATAATAATAATAATAATAATAATAATAATAATAATAATAATAATAATAATAATAATAATAATAATAATAATAATAATAATAATAATAATAATAATAATAATAATAATAATAATAATAATAATAATAATAATAATAATAATAATAATAATAATAATAATAATAATAATAATAATAATAATAATAATAATAATAATAATAATAATAATAATAATAATAATAATAATAATAATAATAATAATAATAATAATAATAATAATAATAATATAATAATAATAATAATAATAATAATAATAATAATAATAATAATAATAATAATAATAATAATAATAATAATAATAATAATAATAATAATAATAATAATAATAATAATAATAATAATAATAATAATAATAATAATAATAATAAATAATAATAATAATAATAATAATAATAATAATAATAATAATAATAATAATAATAATAATAATAATAATAATAATAATAATAATAATAATAATAATAATAATAATAATAATAATAATAATAATAATAATATAATAATAATAATAATAATAATAATAATAATAATAATAATAATAATAATAATAATAATAATAATAATAATAATAATAATAATAATAATAATAATAATAATAATAATAATAATAATAATAATAATAATAATAATAATAATAATAATAATAATAATAATAATAATAATAATAATAATAATAATAATAATAATAATAATAATAATAATAATAATAATAATAATAATAATAATAATAATAATAATAATAATAATAATAATAATAATAATAATAATAATAATAATAATAATAATAATAATAATAATAATAATAATAATAATAATAATAATAATAATAATAATAATAATAATAATAATAATAATAATAATAATAATAATAATAATAATAATAATAATAATAATAATAATAATAATAATAATAATAATAATAATAATAATAATAATAATAATAATAATAATAATAATAATAATAATAATAATAATAATAATAATAATAATAATAATAATAATAATAATAATAATAATAATAATAATAATAATGCTAATAATAATAATAATAATAATAATAATGCTAATAATAATAATAATGCTAATAATAATAATAATAATGCTAATAATAATAATAATGCTAATAATAATAATGCTAATAATAATAATAATAATGCTAATAATGCTAATAATAATAATGCTAATAATAATAATAATAATGCTAATAATAATAATAATAATAATAATAATAATAATAATAATAATGCTAATAATAATAATAATAATAATAATAATGCTAATAATAATAATAATAACTAAAAAAAAGTTAATAATAATGCTAATAATAATAATAACTAAAAAAAGTTAATAATAATGCTAATAATAATAATAACTAAAAAAAGTTAATAATAATGCTAATAACAAATACATAAAAACTAAAATAAATAACATAAACTAAACTTAATATTTTTTTGTCTTTTGAATCTAAAATTGAAAAAATAAAAATGCAATTTAAAAAGACTTATATTCTCTAATGTAAAACGACAAAGATTAAACTATATTGTTTTGAGATTTTAGATTTAACGATGCAAAAATAAAAAATAATAATAAAAATGAAACTATATTTTTTGATATTTTTGAATTAAAAGGAAAGAAACTTGCAAAATGAAATCAATGATGCCAATTGCATATATTTTATTGGATTTTTTTATTAAAGAAAAACATGAATAAAACAAATCGAAATTAAATTCTATCGACTTCACAAAAATGACTTCTAACGTTTCCATTTTCGTGTCTCTTTCAAACATAATCAACTCTTGACTTGTAAAGAAAAGTTCTAGATGTTGTCAAGGAGAATCATATGTAAAAGAACCACTAAAAATGTCGAAATTTGAAAAAGTTATGAATTTTTAAAATCTGACTTGAGAATTTGCAAAATTAGGTCGAATCGCTTGTGAACATTTGTTATGTAATGATGCAGATGAGAAGTGGGATCTTAGGTCAAAATTTAGGGTATGACAACATTTCATAAGGAACTCTCGAAAGAGAGTTGAACCAAATTCAAAGTGTGCATAAATACTTTAGAAAACCATGACCTAACTAATTTTCACTTTGACAAAGTACTCAAAAGTATAACTTGTGATGAATCCAAGAAGGACATTGATTTGATGATCATTCATTTTGATTGAACTTTCATATTTATCCTTTTCATGTTAGTTATCTTTCTCCTCCTCGTGTTTCACCGATTTAAATTGATCAATTCCTTCTTCAGTGTCGTTGAGTATGTCTCTTGAAGATACACCTAGATCATGAAATGAAATACCTTTTCCGAGCATTCTCAAATACAACTCCAAAAGTAATTTATGCATCTTTTACCAATAAAATAAAACTTATTGTTGCTTTCTAGATCACATATTCCATCTTCTTGCCACATATACAATATGATTAAAATATGTTCATACACCTTGAGCCGTCATAAATGAGAACCCATATTCTCTTCATATAGTCAATACAATGTTCCTACAAAAACAACAAAACAGGTTAGGCACCCAATCTCCATTGGGTTCTTGGGGGTTAATAAAAAATTAGTTGCATTTGGGCAAGCCTTTCATGCAACCATAGCAACAATTTAAATCTTCACTATCACTAAAATCACAATCAATATTCTCACATTTTGAGAACCTTGAACAAAAAGTCCTAAGAGCTTAAGACTTTGTTCCTTCCTCCTTATTTGTGACTTTCTACTTTTTCTTCTTCTTCTTCTTCTTCTCAAGCTTTTTCTCATGCTTGTCTAAGAAAGTAATTTCTTGCTCATGTTCTTCAAACTTACCAAACAATATAGTGAGATTAAGTGTTATAAGATCATTGGCTTCCATGATCGCGGTGACCTTCGGTTACCAAATCCTAGTAAGATATCTCATAACTTTGTTAGTAGAAATTGCATTGGAAATAAGATTACCAAGTGAGCTCAAACGAATAATGAGATTTAATATAATTTTATTATCATCATTATTCCATAGTGTTTCTGTCTTAGGTGTGACAATGTGTTGGCTCCTAAATTCGACACCCTTGTTTGTTATCAATATAGACCATTAATTATGAGTCAGAAGAGTTTCCTACATAAGAAGGCTTCGACCAGCTGATCCTGTCGAAGGCTCATCAGAGAATGACAAGGTACTTAGAGAATTTCCTTTAAGTGGGAATCTTGTCGTCTTCGACGTCGAAGGAACCTCTCGACAAAGGTACCTGGTGCCTAGGGTCGAACGGTTTGAGATTTGAATGCTTGGAGGGAAAACGGTTCCTAACAGTTACCAAGTGCAACATGCCGAGATCAGGAGCGTCGAATGCTGTGAGCGTGCCATGTGGCGTCATCTCGA